GAATTACATTTAGATTTCAGAGTATACCTCAGCTCTTTTTTTCAATGGGGCCATTTCTTTCTTCAAATAAATAACCCAAAACTGAGCAGTTTTCCAGCTCAAGGTTTATTAGCACAAATCTTATCTGCTGTCTTTCTGTTTAAGAATCTTAAGATTATAGTTATAGTTTAAACAACAGCTAATTTGTCAGCTTTTCATCCATTATTATTCCAAGAACTTTTCCTATTAAAAAATATCCATAGAAAGTTATCCCCAACCCTGATACTTCTTCCACTGCTTCTTTCCAATTAAATGTAGAACCAGTATTTGCTCCTAGAACACCAGGTTTTCCACTTGCAAATCCTGAAAATCTAAAAGGCTACAGAAAATGCTGTCTTTGAAACAACACTAAACATTTGTTCTAAACTACCAACTTTATACTGCTATGCTCTCTTGGAATTTTTTTTTAAACTCCTATATTTTATCAGCAAATCATCTTCACAAAATTTTCAGAACAGGCAGGAAGCAGGCATCCACAGTTCTGTGAAAATGCAAACTTTTATAGCCCTGGCTCCAAAGGAAATGTTTTAAATTTGTAATTCGCAGTTTTTTTCTCATGTATAAGCACTACTAAATGTATAAAAATTCTAGATTAGCATATGCCTATGCTGATCACTTTGTTACACAGACATAAACCAAAATAGTAGTTGTCTGGGTACTAACAAAAATATGATTTTGACAAAATCTTAGTATTCACACAGTATTTGAGTTAGAAATTTCAGGCGACTTCCACAATGACAGGACCGCATAACTTCTAGCACACCTAAATCAGTTTAATTGTAATGCAGGTATTACCATAATTCAGAAAAACAATTAAATGACTGTAAGTAAGCACAGCCTGAGACAAGACTCCACAAGAGCGCACTAAGCAAGTATAATTTAAGAACATACTGAGGTGGTAAAAACTTATTACAGAAACAAAATAAATCCTTTTGTTTATAAACCTCAGAAATGCCCATAGCAAAGAACATGTGTATGCAAATAAGCATCCAAAAGATAAGAATGAGACACAATGGAAGTAAATTCCTCTAGAATGATAAAAGACTTGTTTTCAATACATAAATAAAACTAAGGATTAACGTTGAAATTTTAAGTATTAATCTAAATCTCCAGATTTCTGCACTTAAAATAGCCATACAGTGCTGAGTTTTATGTGTGTACAGAAATACTGGTCTAATTTTAAGCTGCATTAGCACACTCCTTGTCCTGATTTTGTATCATAAAGGAATGAAAATAGCATCTTAAGAGATGATTTCTGAAGTTATCAAGATTTCTGTAACAGCTCTGTTCCCCAGATCAAACAGTGGGTATTATATTTGTTCCCTTTATTAACATTCCCACCTCCTTTTCCTTGAAAATTCACTGCAGTGTGGTGAAGTTCCCACTGAATGGAAAAGGGGAAATATAACTTCAATTTTTTAAAAAGAGGAAAAAAAAAGTCCTGAGGAACTAGAGGCCACACAGTCTCACCTCCGTGCCTGGAAAGATTACGCAGAAGATCAACCTGGAAACTGTGCTAATTCACTTTAAAAACAGAGCTGGCTGGTGACAGCCAACATGGCTTCAATAAGTCAAATCATGTCTGACAAACTTGGTGGCCTACTACGTTGAGGTTACAGGGTTGGTAAATAAAGAACTACAACTGATGACATCTACAAGGACTTGTACAAAGCCTTCCAGTACATAAAAGATGGTCTACAGGAAAGATGGCGAAGGACATCTTAGAATTGTAGCGATAGAACATGGAGCAACGGTTTTAAATTAAGAGAGAATTAGATTAGATATCAGGAAAAATAATCTTTACTCAAAGAAAAGGGTAGTGAGGCACTTGGCACAAGATAACCAGAGAAGCTGTGGATGCACCAACCCTGGAGGCATTCAAGGACAGGTTGGCTGGGATCTTAAGCAGCCTGATCTATTGGGTAACCATGACAGAGGGTTGGAACTAGATGACCATTAAGGCCTCCTCCAACCCAAATCATTCTATGATTCTAAGATTCTTTTCCTCACCCCATAAGGTAACACCACCATGGACATGGGTTAAGTCTACAGGGCAAGAGAACAGTATACAAAACTGCAAACTGGAGACATTTTTTGAGACACTCATCTGTCAATACAACAGCCAAGTGAACAATGGATTTCAGCCTGTCCACTTTCTTTTAATACAATCAGTTTCATTTAACTTCACTGTACTTGAGTCTTAGCTTATTTATATCACACTTAAAATACGAAAGATTACAGAGCTAAGAAAGAGAAAACTGTTGGAACTTCAAAGCAGCTCTCTGAATTGCAAATTACCTACAGCACAATGTATCATTTGAAACCTCAAGTGAGATACAGCAGTTCTGGCTGAAAGAGTTTTCTGATCTTCAAATCATTCTTCAGAAAACTTTGCAAATGGAAAGCAATTGAATCAGTGCCAGAGTAGATTTAGTTTTACAAGAATTATAGAATCCTTAGAGTTGGAAGGGACATTTAGAGGTCATCTAGTCTAACCCCCCTGCAATAAACAGGGACATCACAACTAGATCAGATTGCTCAGAGTCCCCTCCAGCCTGACTTTGAATGTCTCCAGGAACGAGGCATCTAACACTTCCCTGAGCAATTTATTCCAGAGCCTCACCACCATCACCGTAAAAGACTTTTTCCTTATAAATATATACCTCAATCTACCCTCTTTAAGCTTGAAGCGATTCCTTCTTGTGCTATCACCACAAATCCTGCTAAAGTGTCTGTCTCCTTCTTTCCTCTAGCTCCCCTTTAAATACTGAAAAGCCACTATCAGGTCTCCCCCAGTGCATTTTCTTCTCCATGCTGAACAGCCCCAGCTCTCCCAGCCTCGACCAAGGTGCAAGACCTCGTACTTGTATTTGTTGAACCTCACATATTTCTCCTAGGCCCACTCCTCAAGCCTGTCTAGGTCCTTCTTGATGGCATCCTGTCCCTCTGGTGTGTCAACCGCACCCCACAGCTTCGTATTATCAGCAAAACTTGCTGAGGGTGCACTCAACCGCACTGTCAATGTCATTGACAAAGATACTAAAGCGTAGCGGCCCCAGCACTGACTCCCAGGGGAACCCACTCATCACTGGTCTCCATCCAGATATGGAGCCGTTGACCACCACTTTCTGGACACAATCCTGCAGCCAGCTCTTCATCCACTGAACAGTTCACCCATCAAATCCATAATTGGATGGACAAATATTCCATTATTTCTTATGGCTTAACATATTACCAGAGAAAGCAGCTCAGAAGATTTCAACCAATTTTTTAGTTCATATAATTTACTTTAACTACTGGTTGCAACTTTATCATACTTAAATGCAGCAAATCCACTTTGACTTCAAACAATCTCTGTCTATTCACTTAACTATGATTACGGTTAAAGTTGACTCTGAACTTGTTATGTAGTAAAAAAATTAAAGGAAAAAGAAAAAAAAAGAAAAAAAAAGAACAACAAAAACAAACACAAAACTGCATTAGGGCAGCGTGATTCAATATGCTCCAGAGATTACATCACAAATGCAGTAGAGTTTTCCCCTGTAGTAGTAAATTGTCATCATTGCCATAGTGAACAAAACCATTTATTACCTCTTTTGTACACAGGAGTACTTGCTAAGTCCACTATTTTGGTGAAAGGCTGCCACATTCATAAGCAATCCAAGGACAGCTTGAGTTCCAGCAACAAATACTACTCGTGTGTTTCAACAAAAGGTGGAATAAGGTAATCCTTGGGAAGTTCTCAAACTCTACTGTGAACATAAATAATTACTGATTCCTTGGGAAGATGAAAAAAAATCACTAATTCTTTCTTAGTTCCTTTCTATACTGTCAAATGGTATTACTAGGAAAGTTAAAGAGTGCACACATTCCTTGTTAGCCTCTAAATGAGTGATTACGGTTCAATAATACACTAATACACTAATAATATGATAATCAATGGATTATCATTTCTGATTTTTCTTCTCCTAAGGTTGGAGGAAAGAAGAGAGTATTAACAATAAACAGTAGAGAGCACAGCCCTCACTTAAGGCAAGTACAGTTGGTTCCTCAGTTCTACAAAGTCTGCAGCCCTTCAACCCAATACAACATACCTTTGTGCAAAAAAAGGCTAATATACAGAAGTCGGGAGGAAGAATGAAGACAGAAAACAGAAAGTTAAAGTTTTTCTTGTACATTTTACCAGTGATGCCCATGACACCCATGGACAGCTGTATTAAGCAGACTAATACAATACTAATACAATAGTAGCAATGCTTCCAGAAGAGAGAGAGCAACTCATCTTTAGCAATATAGCAATAATTAAACTTCAAAAAGTGAAGGCCTTTGGATTCAGAGTTATGGTCATGAAATGGCCATTAAAGCTAAGTCCATCTGCTAATGCATTTCAGCTGTTGCTGGAAAGACAAGTTCCTAAACTTGTGCAAAATTAACATATTACCCTGTTCATCCAATTGGCCCTAAGTACACACTAATACAAAAAATGACAATACTGTAGGATTTTGTCCTCAATGTGTGAACTCTATATCCCTTTCCATCAAAGGAAATAAAACCATACACTGACACTATTTCTCACATCTTCCCAACTCCTGACCAATTTCTGTATTAACTTTCAAATTCAGAGAAAATTGAGTGGTGTGTAGGGAAATCACTTAAACACAATTCCACCAACAGCCCAGACTATTACTAATTTGACAGATAGGTTCCCATCATGCATTGGAGCAACTAAGGTTCAACTCCCACTTTTTTATTATTATTTTTATCAACTCAGAGTTTTTTTTTAGAAATTCAAAAACTCAAAAGCCTATACAACTTGAACAAAATTTGATCCCAAAAGTGTATCTCAAGAACAAAACCCCACATATTTCCATTAGAACTAAAAATTAACAGGTAAATTACACACCTAAACCAAACAAAAATGAAAATGAAGAAGTTTGGAAACAAGCAGCAGAAAGCCTTACCCTGAAAAGCTGCTGCATTACGACATTAAAAATTTTAACGTAGCACTAGATGTTTGAAGTACTTGCTGTATAGTGTGCTTTGCTGCAGTCTGTTATCTTTCCTCCATCTTTTTGGTACAGCATGTTGGATTTTTAGAAGTACAAACCTGGAGATCAACACCTAGAGAAAGAAACAATTGCAATGATTACTATGAAATAGAAGTTCACAATACACAGAGAAAATAGATGTTTTTTTTTTCTTTTTTTTTTTTTAAACATCACTATACACATTTAAAAGACATGCCTAGAGTTTTAAAGACACTTAGCGTTAAACAAATTTAGATGGCAGTAGTAACTAACATTCTGTGTGAAGAGTACCCTTATTACAGTTAATTAGTCATATAATAGCATTACCTTGATGCCGTAATCTTATTCCAGCTGTGAAGATTGCTAACAAGTGTTGGTAAAGTACAAAGAATATGCAATGTACATCACTTGGAATACTGACTTGCTAGCTTATATGATCCAGCCCATAGCTCATAGCCAGCATTCTCATGCTGTAAATCTTGGGCTAAAAAGATCTAACTGCTACTAAATATAACAGAACAGTGGAAAGCCCATTCCTGATAGGTATATAATAAACATACTCATACTGACTTTCATATGAAGCAGTCATAAATCCTAGTCTAACATATTTTACTGTTTCTTTCTCTAATGACCACCATTCCCTATGTATTTGTCATGACAATTTACCACTTCACTAACAGGATGAGAAAAGCTCATAGAAATGAACATCTTCTCAAATGTTTGGCACACTGATATTCAAGAGGAGCAATTGAGTACTGTATTTCTTATTGTACACTAAAAAGTATCTTTTTATAAAAACATCATCCCTGAGGATTCAAGTCGGAATTTGTGGTTGTGGAGGAAGAAAAAAAGCAAGAAATTCTAAAGTAAAAAATCTGTGTTACCTTGCCTTTATACATGCTTCAAGCTATTACATCATCTCTTTGAACTTATTTCCCTGCCACTACAAATCGTAATGCTTCTAAAGTTGACTCTTCCACTGTTTTTCCATATTTTCTCTAATAAATCACTCTATATTCTATATTATGACTACAGTTACGGAAAAAGGGAAGCATACATGGCTTTTACTTCTCATATTCCATTAGTTACCTTACATAAATTAAGGTGTTTTAAATAACATTTTCCAAAAAGCTCAGGCAGAAACATTAACCTACTGAGCAGAGTATGCTGATGATACCAAATTGGGCAGAGGGGCAGATAAACCAGAGGACTTTGCTGCCATTAAGATAGAATTCAACAGGCTGAAGGATTATGGGCAGAGAACATCACGAAGTTCAACAAAGGCAACTGCAGGGTTCTGCACTTGAGGAGAAATAATCCCACGCAGCAGTACAGGTTAGCAGAGTTAGCAGCCCCGCAGAGAGGGACCTGGGTGTGCTGGCACGCAGCAGGCATTGGCAGCAGTATACCCTTCTGGGCAATGTATCCTGGGCTGCATTAGGAAGAGAGAGTCCAACAAGTCACTCTGCTCTTACAAACATTATACTAATATAATGTTCATAGCAATTTTAACATGCTCAGGTCAGATCTGCTATTAGATCAACTTAGAATTAAGAATCAAATTAGAATTACCAAATCTTATACTTGTCAGTACCATAGCAGTGAGATCCCATGAAAACGTCACTCATGGTTCCTTCAGGAGTATGTGTTCTGTTGAATAATTACTGCTTTGGGCTCTGGACGAATCTTTGACTTCTCCCTCTGGTACAGAGCAGAGAGGATTCAGAGACAGAGGCTACAAGGGAGCTGCAGTAGACAACAGGCAGTAGATGAACAGAACCACAGTGTCCAGCCACATAATATGGCACAAATGGATTACCTCCTCTCTCTCCTTGTGCAATTTGAAGACTCTTACACACTTCAGTTTAGTTGCTAATGAGATAAAGAATTAGATTTTAGCACTGATTAAAGTCAGTGACTATTAAATGTAGAGATACCATGCTTTTTTTCCCCAAAAACATTTCTTGAAAACTTAGAAGTACTCCTTTAAGCTATAGATTTATTGAATAAAGCCTTTAGGCTCTATGTTTTTTTAAGAGAACCAATTTTATTTTTCTTTTTGACCTTCATCTGAGAACACATCACAGTGCTTTAACTCAATTCCATTTCTAGTCCATTCCAGTCTAAAACATAAGGAATGCCTGATGTTATCCTCAAGTATAACACATTTGTTTTATTACCAACATAAAGGCACTGCATTGTACAGAACCAAATCACAATAGTTAATAAACTTTAGAGAGATTTTTCCTTATAGTTAGAAGGTACAGATCTATAGTCTTTCTCTAGTTTTACAAAGGACAAGGAAGGTACAATTTAAGCAATACATGGTGTGTTCTAATTTTATGCATTTAAAGAATATTCACAACTGATTCCACTTATTCTCTTTCCTGTGATGTACTTATAAATTTATATATACAGAAAACTATTTGTATTTCTTATAGTTATCTCAGCTATTTCATTTTTGAAACACAGAAATGAAAGAGCAGTTGCAGAGGTTATCTTATATACTCTAACTGGTACAGTTAATGTCAGCAAATCAGTGTATTTTAATATTACCGAATGAGAGTGAACCATTCTTTCATTACCATTCATAGAATCATAGAATCACAAGGTTGGAAACGACCTATAAGATCTTATAAGTCCAACCTATAAGTCCAACCGTCTCCTCATCACCACTGCCACCACAAGCACTAAACCATATCATGCAGCACGTCATCCAGACGCCTCTTGAACACTGCCAGGGACGGCGACTCCACCACTTCTCTGGGCAGCCATTCCAGTGCCTGACCACCCTCTGAGAGAAAAAGTTCTTCCTTATGTCTAATCTAAACCTCCTCTGATACAATTTGTGGCCATTACCCCGTGTCCTGCTCGTTGCCTGGGAGAAGAGGACAAACCCCTCCTCATCACAGCCTCCCTTCAGGAGGTTGTAGAGTGCAATGAGGTCTCCCCTGAGCCTCCTCTTCTCCAGACTGAACAATCCCAGTTCCCTCAGCCGCTCCTCATAAGACTTGTGCTCCAGACCCCTCACCAGTTTTGTCGCCCTTCTCTGGACACGCTCCAGGACCTCAACATCTTTCCTGCAGTAAGGAGCCCAAAACTGAACGCAGTACTTGAGGTGTGGCCTCACCAGTGCTGAGTAGAGGGGGATGATCACCTCCCTGCTCCTGCTGGCCACACTATTTCTAATGCAGGCCAGGATGCCATTGGCCCTCTTGGCCACCTGGGCACACTGTTGGCTCACGTTCAGCCGAGCATCAACCAACACCCCCAGGTCCCTCTCTTCTTCACACTCATCCAGCCACAGCGGCCCAAGCTATGCATCTCCACATCACTTACCTTTGCTGAGTGAAGCATGACCTGCAAGGCCCACCTGCCTGAGCCAGTGAAAGTTGGGGAAACACAGGTGATGCTGTGGGGATGGGCTGAAAACAGCTGCCACCAGCCCTACAGCACAAGGCAAGCAAACACTCTCAGCTAAAGTCCAGGAACATATTAGGATGGGCAAGGCTCTGCTGGCACCCCAACACGTGCAGTGGAGGGACATGAGGTCACAATCCATCATCTGGTAACATAACACTATTTTACTGTGGCATCAAAACTAGTTGCCCAGGGTGCGGTTACCCTGAGGAGACTTGCCCAACCCCTCAGCACACTACTCAGCACCAGCACTGTACCTCTGCACAACTGCTAGGGCTGCTGTGGTGTTGCTGTCAGAGTCTCCCAGTAATCACCCCAACCTAGTCCTAGTGCTCCCCACTCTGCCAGGGGCCCTCTCCGATGAGTGACAAAGGTACCCCTCAGAAGTAACCAGCAATTTCATTTCTCAGAAGCAATGATTTCTTCTTTCATACAAGGTTAAGAAAAGTTGACCTTGCACAAAGCTTTTGTGCCACTTTCACAGTATATAGAGACTCTGCTATTACAGTTTTAACAACATGCACAGATTCAGCTCACATGCAGTTCTTTGTGCATGTAGGTACATATGCATAACTCTCTACTATTGCAATTAAATAATTTAAAGATCAGGCGTATTAGCCAAACTGCACTTAGTATTTTCATTGTTTAGCACTGCCTAGCTTTCAAGCTTTCTGACATTTTGTCTCTCAGAACCTAATGTGGACTTTTACCTCAGCTTGTTAAAGACTATAGTGTAGCTTCAAGAAGACATTCAGACTTCTAGCAAAACTCTCATACAATAATGAATATTTGTTTACGGTTTTAATTGACTCTTCAAATATTCTCTTCTTCCTTTGATTTTATGGTAAATACTTCTTTTAAGCAGCATATTTTTAACCATCACTCCCAACCCTAAGGGAACTCAGTTTTTACTTTAAGACTGCTAATCACACACATACAAAGTACATTTTATTGACCTAATTCCATTCCAGCTCATTAAACAGAGCTGATTTCAATGGTCAGGAAAAAGTAACTGAATACAACATGTGAAAGAGTCCAACCAATTAAAAATGGAGTGGTTGCTCAGAGTCCACTGAGGGGTTTTTAATTATTCCATTAAAACACTACGGAACAAGCAACAGCAGACAGGACAGTGTTCAAAGAGAGTACACCAGCAACTGAATCAGGACTTTCTATTTCAGAACAACCTAAAATAAAAAACACACATTTTAAAATGTTTTTGCAAGTAAAAATCTTAGTGTCCTAGGCAAGAATTGTTCAGTGCCAAATATTCTGAAATAGAGTTAGAAAGTTTTCTAACTGCATGAACAGTGGCTCTTTTTTTCCAGTACTGAATTCTGAAGGCTCTATAACTACAACTTGCTTTTTATCCAAAACCAAGGCAGAGAGAAAAGTGAAACAATTTACCCTATAATAAATATATACTAAAATATACATTTAGAGTCTAGGAAAAGTTTTATAACTGGAAACAATCTCAGTGAGAGTAGAAAAGAGCTCAGCAAGAATAAAACATAATCCATAATAGTAATTCTATCTATTTCCAGAAGATCTGGAACTGATTTCAGCCTTTGATTCATAGTCTTCATCCTAGAAATCCATATTTTCAGTAGTTTGGGATAAAAGCAAGTGCTGGCAGGATGAGGATGTTAATGACCAGACACGGTAAATTTCTGCCTGTCTGCTTAGGCAAATACTTTCATGAGACCAAATCCAGAGACTGGAAAATCCCAAAACAAACCCAGGATTGTCATGACAAACAGTCTTTAAGAGACAGCACTGAAATGCCACTGGCTGGAAGCAGTCATTCAAACAAGTGGTTTACTGCAAAAAAAGATTGGCAACCTGTATCACACAAGTATTTCTCATGCTCATCTTTTAATATCTATTTGTGAACTAACCTTTATTAGAGCCACCGCCCCACATTAATTATCGCCGTTAAGATCAGTGTAAAGTATTTCACCACTGCTAAATAAAAGAGGTAAGGATCAAACTCAAGCACATAACCCTGGGCTGTTCACCCTGCTGACTTCCTTGTGGCTCTATTTAGATGGCTCCATTTAGATAGCTCCAGAAAGTCTTTTAATGCATTTCTAGAGAAGATGTATCCTACACACGGCTTTCCAAGGACATCACAGGCAGCACTGGTACAGGTTTGGCTCCTTTGTAGCATCCTACAAGATCCCTTTCCTACTGGCAGGCACCCAAGCAAGATTCTTCTTACATTTTACAAAGCCAGAGGTGAAATGCTACCTGCATTCAGGAACTAACAGCTTATGCTCACAAACACAATACAGGCAGCAATCCTTACAAAACACAGATGTGATAAAATGGACCTCAGCTGATACCACTGCATAATCCACTTCCTGTCCCTGTTCAAATCCTTTTCTGGAGATCTGAGCACGTTCAACAAATAGCAGAAGCACACACAAATTCTTGATTTAACCTCTAATAAAGCCAAAATCCAAATTCCCCGAATTTCAACTGTACTGGAAACCTAAATTAGAATTCAAAAAAGTGTTTAGGGTTGCTTGTGACCCAGACCTTAAGCTGATTTAATTGCTACGTTAAGCTGAACTAGCAAGAATATTTTAACTTGAATTGGCAAAACAGCATTAGGCACCAACTTTTTCTGACATTAAGACACTCTTCAAGCAGTTTTTTGCCTTGTTTATTTAATTCTGTACATATAACTGTTTCCAAAAAGTCTTTGCAATAAACTTCATACCAATCAACATCTTCATTCCTTTTATTACATTTTTTATTATAATGACACCATAAATGGTCTCCAAAAATTGCCAAAAGAAGCCTAGTTTGGTTCCTAAAATTCAAATAATCCGTTCAGAGTTTGAAACAAAAAAAAAAAAATGGGATTGATTCTACAATTCCAGAAAATTTAGCTTTTCTCAATAAATCACTGAACTTAGCTTTCTGGTGCAAAGACAAGCCTGGCAACTAGAACATGCCATCTAACAATCAGCTGAAGAGCTCTGGGCACCACTGACTGCTCCAGACACCCGCTGCCATCATCCATTGCCAAAATGCATGGGGCTGATGGTTCCCATTTGGTGCTCACTCCCACTCCAGGAAGCAGAGGAAGCATCCCCAGAGGATGGCAGCTAACAGTCCTGCCAAGATATTCCAGAGGCTCCAGTAACCACAAACAGTGCTGGAAGCCCACTCATAAACAAACCGAGACTCCTACAGGCAGCTCCAACACCTATTTTCAGAAGTCAGCATCTACATAAACTGTTTACATACAAGGACGTATGTTGATGGTAAGACTGTAGACACTGAATCTTCCCACCAATATCTCATTACATGTTGTTGCCATGTGACAGATAGCAGCAGAGGGTCAGTCTGATGGAACGGTGTCTGACATGGTGGTGTGTATGAGGTGTGTCACTGAATTCTTTCACACCAAAAACACGTCAAAAATCATTCATCAATGCTATCTGAACTTCTGTGAAGCTCAGTGGATGTGAGCACACTGAGGGTTGGGTTATGCATTTCAGCAGTGACAGTGGATCACCTCTGCTGGTGAAGAATTTTACAAGCACAAGATGGAGGTTCTTGTTTGTCATTGGCAAAAATACACAGCTAATAGTGGTGATTATGCTGAAAAAGCAGTGTTTTGCAGCTGAGAATTTGCTCTACCAAATAGTGTTATTGTGCTCTTTGTTGTAGTTTCCACGCAGTAAACAGGAGGCATTACTTTTAGAGTGACTACATACATAAATAACGACTACAGTTATTTCCTCGAGGTAACAATGTTTCCTCCCTACTCTCAGTATGGGAGTGAACATATGGTTCTAAAATAAAAGATGACATAAGTACAATAGTTACACCAGACTATGGATGGAGAAGAGCACAGTAACAATCAACGTATCGCTCAAACACACTCAATGAGCACCAAACGTTTATGTCACTGACAGTGCTTCAGGGTTTTGGGTTTTTGGGTTTTTTTTTGTTTGCTTGGGTTTTTTTTTTGCTTGTTTGTTTGTTTTCAGACAAAATATCTGCATTTGCACAGAACCTAAACAGGTTTTCCAACAAAAGCATTTGTTTTCTTTTTGGTGAAGGTTATGATAAAAGCTTAAGCTACAGATAATGTAATAAGGCCTTGGATACTGTTCTGTGTACTGGTGACCTAACTACAATATCATAATAACAGATAATCCTAAATTTAATACAATGTTTCAGAGTGCAGTTCACAAGTCAGTCTGTCAAAAGCTCTACTTTGAAGTGATTCCTGCTGGAATAGATAAAGCATAGCTAATCTCTGCTTGCAGAATAAAAACTTTTACCAATTATCTTAGAATAGGAAGTGATGATCAACATTTTTAAGTAAGGTGGATGTTAATTCAACTTTTGCTGTATACTGAAGTCAGTTTCTGTCATGAAAGCACTGATTCACATTTACTAATCCACATCTAAACATGAATGGATTTTACACATAGGGATATTATTTAATTATGCACTTAGAGAATAAAAGTATTTTCTGTCTCTATGTCCCCAAACATGAAAATATCCTTATGTTGCACTTTCAGAAGTACAACTCGAATCAACTGACATACAAGACTGGAAGAAAACAAACAAACATCCAGGAAAGTACTTCTCATTATATTTATGATTTCCACTTCAGAAGTTTCATTCTCAATACAACACTACGATGCACTCAAATTTCCATTATTAAGACAAGGATTTTATCTAGATAACGTGTAGAATACGCGCACACCTACCAGCTGCAGCCGTGCCAATCCCCCCGCGCCATTCGGCGCTCAACCCACCGCCCGACCTACGGTCCTCCCCGCCCGTCCGGCGGCTGAAGAGCGACTCGCAGCTCGCTGCTGCCGCTGCTTCCGCCGCTCCTTCCCGCGGGGCCCCCCGCTCTCCCCTCACCTGCCCGCGGGAACTTCGGGACGCTCCTGAGGGAGCCGAGCTGACGCAACTGGAAAACTTTCCGGACAGTCTCGCAGCTCCGCGGCTCCTCACCCCGAGGGTCGATGATGGCCACGGAGGCGAGCAGCAGCAGGAGAACGCTGAGGCTCCGTTCCCCTCTGCCCGTCAGCCTCCGCAGAGAGCGCGTCTCAGAAGCTCCAGAGCCTCGCGCCGCCAGCCAGCTCGCCGCTCGCTAGCGCCGCCCGCCGCCCCCTGCAGGCGGAGCCCTCCCCAAGGCCGGCGGTGCTCCTCGGCTGCCTCCTCCTGCGAGGAGGGGCCCCGGCGGCGGAAGGGCACTGCCCGCTAAGGAGGGCGAAGATGGATGCTGGGAGACCCCCGCAGCCCGGGGTCATCACACTAGAATGAGGAACCCCCTCCATGTACACATTTTAAGGATATGCTCAGCAATACAGCTGGAAGTTTTTTCGTAGGTTGTGAAACTGCCCGTGATCACCCGGTGTGCTACAGCATGAGTCTATCCCAGCTTTCACTCCAATCCTGCATCTGTGGCATCAATTTAAACACAAGACTGCAAAATTGTGAGGAACGCGTGAATTATTCTGAGCACCCATGTGAATAAGGGTAACAAAACAGCACATCAGTTATTAAAACCTGCATTAGAAATCAACTGCTTCACTGCTGAGCAAGGCAATAAGGCATTTATTCACATCTAATCTACTGAGTGACAGCTTAATTCATTACCTGTGCAGAGAACTACTCTTTCCTTTCTCTCAGCCATTTGTACTCATGGACCTGGCAATTTCCTTCAATCAGCAAATTCCACATATAGTATCTGAAATGTCCTTTAACAGAATTTGTTCTACTGTCCTTACACAGCTTATAAACAGAACCATGGTGTATATATAATACATATAATACATAAAGACTGAACAAAGAAAACAGGTTACCATATTTCGATAAAGCAAATTACTGCAAGAGATTTGGGGCTCTTCATGAGGAAAAAGGGGGAGGAAACAGAACTGGAAATAAAGAGATGTGGTTTCAACAAAAATAGAAGTAATTAACAATTCAATACCTTGTCTATATGCTGTTAGTAGATAGCAAATCCCTTGCCACTCAGTAAAACACTTGTTCTTAAAGAGAACACTTCTGAGTATTGAAGAATATCACTGGAAAAAACAACTTGGATGTGGGAAGCAGAAATCATATGATCTTACTTGGCAAATTGAAGATGGTAGAGGAAATCCTGGGAACCACAAAGTGATTCCTCAACATCCAATACATTGTTCACAGTGAAGATACAAAAATAATTTATTAGAAAAGAGGGGAAAAGTCTTGCCAAATAAGAAATACATACAAATATTCTTTTTAAAATGTGAGTTTCTTTGAACTGTACAGAAGTTCACCATCAGCAACAGATGATCCCAGAGCCCATGGATTTAAAGCAAACTGGTATTTTATCATATCTCTTATTGGTAATGACTCAACTGAAACTTCTATGCTCCAACTCTACAGGTTAAGCAAAAAGACTGGTAAGAAATCAAATTTTCATCTTCTTTTTATTTTCTCTTGACATACAACACTAACTACTTACATACATAGCTAACAATTCAGACTGTCATCTTACTTGTAAGTACTGAAAACCCTTTATTTGGCTGTGCTACCTTCCCTGTATCCCTTAAGAGAGCTGCTACAAAAATAATTTTCCTTACTTTACTTACACCTGCTTTTCTCACACCCTTTTTGCCATATCAAACACAAGCCATTTAGCTTTGATTGCAAGTCCTTTTACCATTCCCATCCCATTCAGGATGCTAATTTCCAAAGGACTGCAGCACCTGCCCCCATCTCCAGTTTCTAAAAATGAAGAAATACTTCTATGCTATCTCCTATTTCGTTTTAGATATCTGAAAGTAGTTCAAACATCTGTTAAGCTTTCTTAAGTCATTCTTCAAGGCTCAGTCACAAGTCCTATCTATTATTTTTACACACATCACACCAATTAAGGAAGTTCTTATTAAAACTATGGACTGTGTGTTCACTACTAAGTTTACATCACGTGCCTGTGGAAAATTCAGGTAACTACTTCTGGAATAATCCACAATCTTTCTAAAGTCTTCCTGGTTCTGATACTGCCCTCTTGCTTTGAACTTAGTGGGGGAACTCAGCACTCACATGGAGCTCCTTGAAGCTTTAAAAACAGCAGGGAATTAAAACAAACAAATGAACAAACAAAAAAAAAAAAAAAAAAAAAAAAAAACCACCCTTCCCCATCCCTCAGTTATGCAGAATTACTGTACAGTTGCTATGGTAAGCATATAAAGAAAATCCTCTTATTTTAGGTTGGGATAATTAAATTAGAAGACCCGAACTGAAAGAGCTGTGCACTATTTGGATTCATAGCACTATCCTACTCTGCTACCAATGACCCCATAAACTTACGAGGCCAGTAAAACTTCACATGCAGATCCATCAACTGCTTTAATGAAAGAGTTCATAACAGTATCGCAAAAGTTTGAGAATTTATCTACAAACACAGGTCAGCGTGTGGGTTTCCTTAATGAATTAAGAATTTTTAATTATATTTTAAAATGAAAACGTTAAGAACATTATTTGATTTTTTGTGATTATAGTGGATTATCAGCTGTGACCTCATAGGCAAACAGATGAGACTACGCTAGGGAAACAACTGCAAGTCACAAAGAAGAATTGTAGACTATCCCCCCTCCACGTTACAAGCACTATTTTACTACTATTCCTTATTTTAACCTAAACTTTTATGCTTATCCGCACTGCATTATGCCCCTACCACTCTGTGTCCCACTCCCCCATCCTTGCATAACTCATTGTGTGATCCTTATATTCACAGAGAAATCAGCAAGCCGGTACCCGCCGCTGAGGACCTGAAGCATCTCTGCTTTTGAACTGCTGCCTGATGCACCGCTCAGCGGCCCCACAGCACGCAGCCAGCTCCGCTGCAGCCCGGCGCGTAGCCGGGAAGCCCAGCGCACAGCGACCGCATCCGGCTTCTGCCGAGCGCCTCTGCCGGCCGGCGGGGCGGGGAGAGAGCTCCCTCCTACTTTTTTTTTTTTTTTTTAAATTACTGCTACTTTCTTTAAAGGGAAAAGGTTTTCAAAATGCAGGTATTGCACCTTGCTCGTCTAGAAAGAGCTTCAGGTCTTCACAGTGATTCAGAAGTTCAAGCGTTTGTTTAGGAATATTGTACCCAGTATGTAATTACATATGTATGTTTTCATAAAGGTTTTATTTATTTAACAATTTATACTCCATATTTAGCTCAGCAGTTTACTTCAAAAAGTACTTCTCCTTACTACTAGGTACAGTGTTTCCATAGGGACTTTCTCAGATATTCTAACATTGAACATTCTTAATCTCATTTCCTCTTAATTAGTGTCACTTGTCTTACTTCCCAGAAACTTGGGCCTGTACAATTAAAACACTGTCAGACAAGAACATCTGAACTGCTCCCTAAGAGGGAATAACCAGTAAGGAAGACTGCAACAAAGGAAAGCAGCAGCTTACAAAATATTCACATGTAACAGAATAAAAAGTGTCATGTAATTGCAACTGTTCTGCAATCTCATCCTAATATGAAAAATCTATATTCAGTATCACTGCTTCAGTCTAGCATCAACAATGGGGGGAAGGAGGTATATAAAAACTCCATATACTTCAGTTGGTACTCAAGTATTCTTTAAAGCATTTGCAAAAAGATTAACAAACAATTTTGGTCTCCTCTAAGCACATAACGCTCAGGGAATGACTTCTTTTCCCTATTAAGTTATAAAATATTCAAGTTCTATTGTGCCTAGAGATGAAAATTAATTTCCCTTAGTCCATATGTTTGCAGTACTTTGACTTAATCAGAACAACGGTGTTCAAGGAGATTCTGTGATCAGAAACCTGTTCAACAAGAGGCAGGATGCTAACAAATTATCAGCTAAGTCACAACAGAGTATTTATGCATACACTAAGCAGTATCACTCAACTTCTGTTATTTACTGTTGCTCTCACCCACACAACTTACAAAGAGTTAACTCTATTGTTGATGCCCAGCTTTTCAGTTTTTGCAGGTACAGAAATAGTTTTTCATCTATTCTAGGAGGCGTAAACTAAAGGACTTGCATATAAACAAAATACACTCGATCCTTTAACTTCCTGCAACTGCTACAATACACACTCCTTGTTCAGATGTTAACATGCCCTCTTTTCCCCAAGTGAAATGAGGACCAAACCATGCAAAAAGGAGCAACCCGCAACAGTAACAAAATAATTTTACTTTATAGATTTAGTGCAACAGTGAATCACAAGACAGTTAACTGCGTGTAAATCTTAGCTATACAAGCTGCAAGGTAAATAAGGTAAGCTAAATCCATTCTACTTAAAACAGCAAAGTAAAAAATTAAAAATATTTTTAAAAATAGGTCTCCCAGGACATTTCGTAAGACAATAAAACCCAAGTTACAGCACCCTTCACTACTTCAGAACCTATTTTACCATAGTGCTCTACTCTAATCATACACATCCTGCAAACCAATGCTCAAAGATAAAAGGTCTTTCTTCATGTCTCTGCAGTCTTCAGTACACAGCTACCCTGCTGTATACCTTGCTGTACCAGCAGAGTTGAAAGTTAGTTTGCCTATAACATTACTTCAGCTGTCACAGGGAAAAAAGTTTCTACCCACATAGGTACAACCCTCAGCTTTCATGCTTTCAAGAAAGTATGGTTTAGAGTTCACAGAAGTTATTCTATCAATAACAGTTGATTGACAGTTCTAGATCTATGTTCTAGACAGCTCTCAAGTTTCATTCAGCACTGAGTTTTGCTCAGAGGGACTGACTCCATTTCTTCTAACTTAGAGTCTTAGCTCCAAATTCATGAAATCTAAGTTAGGCAGTTAAAGGGGAGTGATTCAGTAGCACTGAACCCAGAATTTAGTAATTCAAAATCAGGGCAAATCTAGGGAGCTAGAAGTCATTAAATGTTTAAGTTTCCATCAGCACTGACTCTCAGAGACATCTGTTCAGAAGCAGAAATTTAGTAGCTACACCCTACCAGTGCTGAGTAAGTGACATACCCCACCACAAGGTCCCATCTGAATCCATAAGATAAATGAACCTACTAAATCTGGAGTTCAGCCCGAAGTGCAATTATTAGGTCACATATAGGGAAATATCAAAGAAAATAGGTGCAAGCATCCTCATTTATTTTAATACCACTAACACATTCAAGATGAGCATTTGCTTGAATAATTCAAACTTTTCACATCTCTCCTGAGAGAGCACACAGGATATTAGTGCATTTGCAAAGTAGCAGGACTTCACAAAGTCTTTCTGAGGTTACCCCAACATGTACTGTAAGAGCTG